AGCTGTCTGCGTGTGTGTGTGTGTGTGTGTGTGTGTGTGGGACTTGTTTACCTACACTTGAGAATCTACACTGTGGGGACTCTAACTTATATTTAGAAAAAAAACGTTGTTTGAAAAAGCATCAAAAGTCATAAACAAAATTAAATCCAGAAGCCCCCTTGATACAAGGCATATCAATATTAATTGCACATTGGAAATAAAGAATTTAAAAAAAAAAACTATCTTTAAGAATTTATTTTCAAAAATAAATGCATATTTGAATCAATATTCGCAATTTTGATTACAAAATTATATTATTAAATACACATTTATGTTGACTAATTTAAAAAAATCTGTATTTATTGTAAATTCTAAATAAAAAAAATGTTGAATTATGATTCGCAGTTGTGATTTCAGATTGCTTTTTTTAAGAACAAATGAATGGTAAATATTTAAAAATAAAAAGCTCACTGTTTTTTTAGAACATATCAATTATAAAGATTGTCAAGAAATTCTTATATTAAGTGTTTCCATTCTAAAATAAATGAATTATTCCATAAAGATACGCAATTTGGTTTTCAGAATGCATTTTTTTCTCTGTGAAGGTAAGAACTAAAGCCATTTGTAAAATAATAGTAGTATATTTGCATGCAATTAAGGCATTAAAGCATATAAATAATATTGATGGAAATTGTAAACAGAATTTCGACGTCTAACTCATATTAATTTTGTAGATTTAATTGCATACGAGCGATAACGAAAATTATTTTAAATATAATATTTTATATACCTAGTATTTGCAGGGAATGTAAATAATATTGGCATTATGGCACTTTTTTATTTAATTTATGATTTTATCTGCGAAAACAAACCAACAAAATATGAAGTTGAGGTTTGATATTTTTTTTCAGTTACTAATTGTGAAAGATGCATAAAATATAAAAAAATATTAAAATGAAACTTACCAAAAGCTATTCTAAATCTGATATATATTTTTGATCAGGATCAATAGCGAAGTCCATATAGCCATCTGTGTGTGAACACGCGGATCTCAGGACTACAAGAGCAAAAAGCTTCTAATTTTATATAAAACCTCTCGGTTCTTTTGTTCTTGTGTGAATAAATATATATAATATATACATTTATAACAATATGCGATGCTTTAATTTCCCTTCCCCTCCAGCTACTGTGGTGCTCATAAAAAATGAGAGCACTTTCACACCTGCTTACATTCCAGTGTGCAACGGGGAATCTGGCAATAAAACTGTAATAATATATTTAATATTTATGTCGCATTGGAGCTCACTATACATTTTCTTATATGTTTTACTCAACTGTCTTTATGAATTGCTTCTTCTGTAATATTACCAAGCTCTAAAGCATCCTCTCGTTTTTTCCACCCATCCTGCTCATCTTAGTTTTCTGTTCATCCAGCATCATTGTTCCTTTCAGAGAAGTCACCAAGCAAAGTGCTTTGTAATAAAGCAACTTGTGCTAGAATCACGTGCCCTGCAAATATTAGTGGAAAAAAGCAGTAGAACGAAGAGTAGCAGCTTTGATTAAGAAATTGACAGGCGGCAGCCAACATTCAAGCTGAAGATGTCAGATACAGAAGGAGAAAGATTGAGAGTATAGATAGAGAGAGAGAGAGAGGGAGTGAGAGAGAGAGAGGCAGATGTAGCGAGGGTCTGCGACACAAAAGGTAAGTGCAGAGGGCGTTGAGTGATTATCATTAGCCGCCAGAATGGTTGCCATTTAGCACGCACAACGAGCAGCTGCAACAACAATAACCAAAATAACAACAACAAAAACATCATCCAGTAACAACGACAACAATGTGCGGCTGCAACAATGTTTGAGTAATTGTTTGCTGTTGCTGCAACATCGACCAAATGCAGTAGTAGCAGTAGCAACAGCAGCATCAACAACTACAGTTGCAACAAAATTTGCATCCATGGACCAACAGCAACTCCACCGCACCCCAACCCTATTATCACCACAACCCAACCGATACCCATAGCCATGCTCAGTTGCAGTCCTGATACTTGCCGCACTGTCAACTGCTGCTGTCTGTTCTGCTGCACGTAACTGAACAGTGGCAGCAACTGCAGCAGTAATTGCAACAAACAATTAGCGTCACTTGGATTTATGTTTACGAGCGGTTGCCCCGACATTACCCAGAACAACTCCCTCCCCCCTTTACACCTCTTATTGCTGTTGGTGCGTGCGTGGATTAAATGATGATTCAATCACGGCGCATATATATACAAATTCATATTTTGTGGCAGTGGTCATCACTTTTAAGAAGCCGATTCCTGCACGATTGACTTGTCCCACTTCACAGATTCGACTCTTATAAGCAACATTAATGTTCCATAATATATCATAATTTATTGAGTTATAATCCTAAACTAAATACAACATAATTTAGAAAACTATTTATTTAGTAATGCAGCTGTTGGTCATTAAGCGGTACAAACACGTCGGCGTTTGTGGCGGCAGCTAGTGGTTACTTTCAAGCCTAAAGAAAAATGTTTTACAATATGAGAGACCCTCTGGTCTCTGAGAAGACATCCCCGTTTGAGAATCATAAATATCCGCCGACTATTTTCATATATACATATGAGTAAATAAAATATGTGTCTTGTATACATAGAAAAAGATACAACAGTCGTATTCGATTATAGCGAATCGGCTAATCAATAATAATCAATATGAGATCGAAGAGTCTATCTGCAAAAGTACAAAAACCCACTCAAAAGAAAACAACGCAATCAGAATAATTATTTTTGATTGGATGGAAGTGTGGCAGGCACCAATGCGGCGCCGGCGGATATAAGGTGCACATCCTGTGTGTGGTTTGTTGGTATAGCTTATATTTAGTCCTGGCTGGAGTGGAGAACATCATAAGTAATGTGTCTGAATAATTTTTATTTTACATTTTATTCTACACTATGATATTTTTTGCAGCTATTTATAAAATTTTGCAGCCACAGGCGCTGCGATTAAAACTCACACACACACACAGACAAGATGTTCACAGCAAAAGGATATAGAAGACCGGATTTGGTATTCAGTGTTCGGTGTTCGAGACTTCATGTATGCTAGGAGGCTTTCTATTATCTGTAAAATGTTATGATTTATTACATGCGAGTTCAAGTTTATGTTTGGGCAATAAATTGCGGCCCACCAAAAGGGCACAAAGGGCATTGTCCACAGTGCCTCTCACACCCACTTAAGTCAATTAATTGGCTTTAGATTTATTAGTTCTTTTTTCGCTTCACTCCCCTCTCATATAGTGTGTGTGTGTGTGTGTTTGCCCTGGCGCGTATGTGTTGTGATTTATTGTGCGAGGAATTTTGAGCCAAAAGAAAGTTTCCGCCTTGGCACGCACACAGCCCCTACACAATTCGCGGTCAGGTGGCAACTGCGATATGGGCTGAGTGGCTGGGAGGCGTGATATTTGCATATAAATAGATATGTCACTTTAAATATTAAATACATGAGCCCTGTCGCGCCTTCAGCCCGAAAAGTTTTGGCGCACAAAGACATGGGTAAAAAAAAACACGTGAGGTAAGCTTGACGGTTTTCCATAAAATTAGTCTTGGTGTCAAATATGACACGCCAAATGCTGCTGACACTCATCTTAGCCATTTATTGTACTCAATTATTAACTAGGTCAAAAGTGTAGCCAACACATTAAACAAGCACGCGAAGTTAGTTTTCCTAATACCAAAATAGTCACAAACTTGGAAACTGACCTGGTTGAGGGGAGAGGTCAGAGAAGTACTGTCTTCAGGTCTTCTTTGTTTACATGATTTTTATTCTCTTATACTCGAATGCTAATAACAATTAAAAGCTGAAATGTCAATACGCTTAACATTAATTGCAAACTTAGATTATTTAAGTTATATTTTCCGCAGTCACAATGGTCTGAACCCAGCCAAAACCAGACCATCAAATGAGCTATTTATTTTGAAATAATACGTTACTATTTCTTTAATATAAGCAAAATGAACTTATTGTTATCTAATATTTCCGTTTAAAGTTTATTTATATATTACGAAAATGTACAATATGCAGCTGTTTATTCTTTCTTTCCCCCCTTGATTTAATGTATGCGGAATAACACATCTCTTGTGGTACAATTTCACAGAGTTTGAACACAAAAACGGCCATGCCCATTGTTGGGCTGTCTGCGGGGTTATGGAGAAGTTGAGTATTGCATGTTTCATGGCTTAAATTATGCGTGCATGGAATATGCAATTTGAATGCGAAATAGTTGACATTGGCCACACACTGGCAACGCCGCAGCGAAGTGGAGCTAAGCGAAATGCGACTCAACGCGACACGGTTAGAACCAATTGCACAAAATCAACGCAAAAACCTCAGCAACATTTAGCAGCGATGCATAAATCATAGTATACTTAACAGAGCACACACACCCATTGACACACGCACACACATCTATGTAAATTGGTTGGTTGTCGTGCTGCGTAACTGGTTCGCGGTTGTTTTGATTTCGTTTACAACCTTTAATTAGAAATATTGCCACATTCGAAATGAGCCGGGAGCAGCACTGAAACTGAGGCAGCAACAAATTAAATATTGAAAAACGGAATAATAATTATGAGGCCATCCACTGATAAGGGGTGCATTGGGCGGAAGGGGAATGGGCAATTGCAATGCTCACCGCAGGCATACAATTATTTTTGCATTTATGCACAAAATTAACTAATTCAAGTGACATGGAATATTTTGGTTGCCATTCGGTTAGCAGCTGCATCATTTTGGCCCAAAACCAACGGCAAATTTGTGGTCATGCATTGAATTAGCCGTCAATCAAGTCATAATTGACTTAGCTAGTGCCTCCCAAAGTACGATTGCTTGTTAATAGTTTAACTTTATTTTCATCCATCATTTCTGTTGATTCAATCACTGCGCATATATATACAAATAAATATTTTTTCGCAGTGATACACTTTTCCATTTCGACTTGTCCCACTTGACATATTCGACTCTTAATTTTTAATAATATTTCAAATTTATTGAGTTAAGGTCCTAAACTAAATACAACATAATTTATAAAACTTTTTATTTAGCAATGCAGCTGTTGGTCATTAAGAGGTACAAACACGTCGGCGTTTGTGGCGGCAGCTAGTGGTTACTTTGCAAGCCTAGAGAAAAATGTTTTACAATATGTTACATAATGCTACATAATGTGGAATCTTGAGATTGGGGAGCTTACCTGACGGCGATAACGATTTTTTTCACGTTCGCTCAAATTATGCCAGGCGGCTCCACCCTTGCGGAGCATTTCAATGGGACTGAGATCGCAGTGTTTGCGCCGATAAGAGCGCAGAAAGTTTAAGAACCCATTTGCGGTAACTGGTCCGGATCTCTGGCACTTAAAAGTAGCGCATTTGGGCTTCTTTGCACACCGAGTCTTTCGTTTTTTCCTTGCACAATTCATATTGAGCTGTTCGGGACAGCAGACAGACAGAAAAGGAATTTGTTTAATTATTAGACAAATTAAAGTATTCAAAATATAAAAGTGCATATCCGTAAGCAATTGCATCTTTGAGGGAATTGCTTCGGACCTTCAAAAGTTGCACGGTCTTCGTCTTGATTTATGTAAAATAGTCGTGTTATATCAATGCCTTGGCCACATAGGCAAGGGCTTAGGCGCCTGCTGTCCTTGTAATGACTGTTGTTGCACCATGCAAATGGCGTCATTACATGCGACGGGGTGTGGCAACAATGTCGACTGTCTGCACGATGCCAGCTGTTGGCAGCGTCACAGGATATGGGCTACCAATTTTCCCCCAAAGAGTTTCTTTACGATGGCCTATGTACTTTTTACACTTACCTCGGGTTTTTGTATATTTTAGGAAAAGTACAAAATTCAAATTTGTTAAATATTCAACTATACGTTCTCACTCTGAAAATATAATGAACAGTCGACGAGTTGAGTTGAGACGGCATCCCAGTTTGAGATTCATAAATATCCGCCTACTAATTTTATATATACATATGAGTAAATAAAATATGTGTCTTGAATACATAGAAAAGAATACAACAGTCATATACGATTATTGCGAATCGGCCGATCAATAATGCATTTATATGAGATCGAAGTCTGCAAAAATACAAAACACAACTCAAATGAAAACAAAGCAATCAAAATATTTATTTTAGATTGGATGGAAGTGTGGCAGGCATCATTCCCATTCGGCCAGCAGCTGCAACATTTTTATCCAAAACCAACTAATAAATTCGAGGTCATGAATTGAATTAGCCGTCAATCGAGTCATAATTTATTTGGTTGCAATTGCATGTTTGTAGTTTAACTTTTGTGCTTTCATCATTAATCTAGGCACTAAAAGTTGCATTAGTATCTGATTGGTGCTAATTTGATTTGATTTAATTATGAAGTACTTTTGCTTATACACTCTGAAGCCAATTTAATTAGAGCGTATGAGTTCTATATTATATTATATATATTATCTTCTTAGATATTTCATACCAAATTTCATATTTCCCTCAGACCTCATCTACATATATTTACAGATTATATTCTGGTCTATTTCATGACAAATTTCATACAATTCTTTTGAAATTAGTGCTCTAGTTATGTTGCATATTTGCAGTATTTAAATTATTATCGAAATTCCCAATTCAACATTAAGTTTATGAAGAATTCCCTTTTGAATGCAATGCAAGGACAAATATGAGTGCAGTCGAGTATTTAACAATTGCCACCCGTCTGTCGCGAAAGCATTCTAACTAACATCAGATAAATTAAGTTATGAGCAATTACAGAATGAATTCTTGGAAGTAACTATGCGAATATTGGACGACAGACAATTGCAATTGGTGTTGTGGGGTAGTTTAGAACAGCAACATCTACTTCGCTGATTTAGCGGGACAATATTGTAGGAAGTTGCTGCTGCACAACAGAAATTAATAAAAGAAGTAAGTTTACCATTTCCTGTCGACAGCAGCCAAAAAGCAACAACAACAACTGCAAGTACCAGAAAAAGCCAACTAAGAGCAATGGTCCATTGTTGTAGCAGGTCGGTTTCTGTTGTCAGGCGAGGACATTCCTTTAACTGTACAATATCCGGTCGAGCCACACAATAGCAAAATCGCTTGCAATTTCAATGGTGAAATACTTCTATTGCAACATGAAAATATTTTTATCAGCCTTTTGTGTGTGTCTGCCTGCATGTACAAATCGAAGCGACTCTTCACCTGACGACGACAAGATACAAAAAAATATGTATGAAAAAAAAACGATGTCGACAAAAATTCAATCTTAATCCAGTCGCTCAGCAGCAACTTTTTTTTATGCACACAGACTGAAAGGTAACTAAATGTAGAGAAATGAAAAACAGAAAAAATGGCTGAACTTGAAGTGCCGAAGATTGAATGCACTTGCAAAATTATCTTTACTAAATACTTGATAAATATTTGGGGGCTATATTAAAAAGAATATTGTGTTGCGTTGCCCTTGAGCTTTGCAAAAAAAAGACTGCTGTGTGCAACTCGGCTTATATTCTAATGTTATGCAAGCTAAAATTTCATATTGGGAGCACATTGGAGTCAAAAAATCGAATTATTGCTTACCAATATATATATTAATATATATCTATATATTTATCGCATAGAGCTGATCAAATATTCACATCTCATCAGAAAATCATAATATCCTTACGTCGAGAGTAATCAAAATCCAATGGAAAAAATGTATGCCTTACACTTAGACCTGTTTCATAGCTAGAGGAGAAGGGTGGGGGGAGGAATGGTGGTCTAGTATATATGAATGGGAGCGGTGACGTATGCACTTGACTTGACTTGCACATTTGTGGCGAAGGCTGCAAGTCTTGAAGTCAATTGGAGCCGGAGCCAAATCCAAAGAAAAATACTTATTGTTAGGCAGAGGAGAAGAAAGGGGAAAGCATATCCCAACCCAAGTTGGCAGCAGTAAGTAGCTTTATTATGGGATTTTTAAGTTATTACACCAAGCAAGAGGAAGCAGCTGCACAAGGTGGATGAGCAGTTGGCTAGTAGGCAAGAGTGTGTGTGGGTGTGTGTGTGTGTGTTGGTGTGTGTTTGCAAACTGGGAATTGGGTGCCGTTGCGAACACTCGCATACAGAGAGCTCTTTGCACTTGAATGAGAGGCTTACGAATGTGATGATATGCCCCATGAGAAAGAAAGAAAACGAATTTTTCTATATGATTTCACTAGGAAATTGAAATTGAAATCGAGTGAATGAATGCATAATGCGTAAACTATTATAATAAAAGAAGTTTTTTTTGTGATTATATAATTGGGAATCTTATTTATTGCAAAACTTGAAAAAAACAAAACAAAAATTAAAATACTTCCTTGTTTATATATTTATTTTTTTAATGCGAAAAGTTAAAATATAAAATGAGGTATAATTGAGCGGGTGAATTGCTTAGACTTTAATATATTTTTTATTTATACATTTTAATTGATCTTAAAATGAACGATATTGTAATTAGCAACTGAGAAACTAAGTTGCTTACCAACTCACTTACTTCCAGAGATCAGCAAATTTAGACAGACTGATATGGTTGCATCGAATCGGCCAATAATGTTAGTCAAGAACACATGCCTGGCTCTTCTCATAACGTGGCATTTTAAGTCCAGACCGTTGAAGAATTCTCAAATTGAATGATTTAATGAACTGACTACCAATTGGGCTGTATAAGCAGAACGTAGACAGCAGCAATAATGCTGTTTCCATAAGTCGATTATGTTCAGTCTTTACTGAATGCATCTGCACATGCTGCCCACAGACTATATACCAGCTATGGTAAATTTAGCTCGCCTTAATGGAAAAAGTCAATTCGAGTCCGCTTTTTATGCAACAGCTCAAGGAGCATGAACAGATAAAAGACCGAACGGGCAAGGATTTAAGCCTCCCCAGGCTTTGTTCTCATTGCTGTTCTTGGTATTTTTGTAGTACGCAACTTGTTTAGCTGATTGGCAACGTATTTTGGGTCAGAAAACAAGAAGATTTAGCTTTGTCTGTAAATCGGATATTCTGGGTTTCACAAGAGTATGGTAAATGCAAAAAAAATAAAAATAAATCAAATAAGGTGGTTGGTTTCATTAATATATATATATATATATGTATATATATATGTATATATGATTTTAAGCAAACTTAAATATTGCATTCACTAGTTTTTTTAAAGATTTGCTTTATTTTTAACAATTTGACTATTTATTGCAGTGCTGGTTACATAGAAAATGGAAGTAACTTTGCTAAATTCGAAACATACTTCATAATTTAGAAACATTTTCATGTATTTTCCTGCAGTTAGCTACTTAACTAATGAATATCCAGTTGTGTATTACTATATCTAAGATTAAACTAAAATTTTGGTTTTTTTGGAATAGAATTTACTTTATTTTTATCAGTTGTCAGATTTTTCCGAGTAAAACTTTTGCTGTGCAGTTACTTAGGAAGAGACTTGCCAAAATATGAGACATCTTTCAGTTTTTTGAATATAACAAAAGTTTACCAACCTACTTCAAGCATCTTTCCTTGTGTATGGTTTCGTTTAAAATTGCGCTTCTTAACACACTCAGCTGATATACCCTTGTCAGGGATTTAATTTAAAGAAAGCAGGGTATTACAATGAGTTTGCGTTTTATATTCACGGTCGCTACCAATTTTTGGTTGTCTACATTTTGTTTATGCCTTGCGGCAGGGCAACAGCACTCTACCTGTTTTTTTTATTTAACTGGTGTGCGTTGCCTTTTCCGACTTATCGACATAATTATCTTAAAAAAAAGGAAAATATGAAATTATATATGGCGCATAAAAAAGTACCAGCAGAAGGAGCATCAGTAGCAACAACAACAACAACAACACAAGCGAGAGGTACAAGGCGCAAGTGGAAGACGAGTGCGCGCCACGCCCTATGCCCCACGCTCTTTGATTATGTGGCTGTGATAGGGGCATGTTGTTGTTCTTGTTGTTCCTGTCCTTGTAAGCTGGCGAAAGTTAAGGAAGCTGGCAAGCACTTCTCATTAGAATGCTCACAACACAGATTTGACATGGCAGCTCGCCTAAATGCAGGCAACAACATTTTCTCTTTTCCACTTTGTGTGCGGTTGTGTGTGTACTGTGTGTGTGTTGTGTGTTTCGTCTTTTTACGCACAGTCACGCAACTCTCTCCCCTCCCTTCCTCCCTGCCACGTTTGGGTGTTGAATGCTGTTGTTATTGTTATTACAGCTGCGCATTTTTATACAAGATTAAAGCGTTCACGTCGCCAGGTTGCCAGTTTCAAAATAAGTGATGTAGGGAGAGGTGGAGCTTCAGCTTCTGGGAGAGGTGGGAGCTGGGTTTCTGAAAAATTGTTGGAACGCACAGCGCTGGATTTGCTGTCGGCAATTTGTTGACTTGACTGCAAATGTGTCGCATCCTAATGCGTTCTTATTAAATAATTGAGAGGGACAGCTCGAGTAAAATTTCTTCCAAAATTCTAGTCTTAAAAATCTTATGTGAAAATTGTATGCATTTTTTTTTATTGTATTGTAAGGAAACATATATTTCAGCATAAAATGACAAACACTCAGGATGCTTTTAGCATTCGGACATATTTGTAGGGAAAACAATGCTAGATAGAAATTTATAACTAGACGAAATAATCGAATTCGTTGAGGGAAAATTTAGTGATTTTGCATCTGCGAAAGGCAATTATTTTGATTTTGAGTTTGGTCTTGTTTTTCAAAACGAAAAGGATTAATGTCTTGAAATATTGTATTAAAAATGTAAATAGTTTATTGATAAAAATATATTTTTCTAAATTATTTTCCACTGACCAAATTGTAAACAGAAGTCCGCATGTTC